CTCTTCTTCCTCCTCCTCCTCCTCCTCCTGTTCCTTCTCCTCCTCCTCTTCTTCCTCTTCTGTTCCTCTGCCTTCTTTTTGGTGCCAAGGGATTGAACCCAGGGGCGCTTAACCACCGAGCCCTGTCCCCAGCCCTTTTTAAATCTGTATATTTTTTATAGCTAGGGTCTCGCTGAGTTGCTTAAGGTCTTGCTCAGTTTCTGAGGCTGGCCTCCAAACTGTGATCCTCCTGCCTCAGCCTCCGCAGCCCCTGGGATGACATGCGTGCACCATTGCACCCGGCCCAGCCTTGCTTCTTTGACTGAGCCAGCCCTGCAGCTCCTTCCCGGGACAGCAACGGGATCCAAACCTCGAGATCTGGATCTCAGCCTCAGGAGTGTCCCTCTAGTTGCTGGACCCCAGCTGGGTGGCCCCCTCCCAGAGCAACAGAGCTGGCGTCAAGGTGCGCGCACACACACACGCACTGTGTCTGCCCCTCAGAGGCCCAGGCCCAGGTGAGCAGAGTTCCAGGTGGACAGCAGACCCCTGCCTCCCAGACCCCACCCGGGACCCCAGCGCCCCGCGCCTGCGCATGCGCCCTGGCCGCCCTGGCCACCGGGCTGCCCCGCCCCCTTCGTGGCCGGCCCTCACTCACCCAGGGGGTCGGCCTTCCCGTCCTTGTCTGGGATGGTGAACACGCCCACGACCTCGTGGCCCTCCTTCCTCAGGTGGCTGTACACCTCCTGGCCAAACAGGCTTTGTCCGATCACCGCGATCCTCATGGTGGCGGAGGTGGCCCAAGGCACCTGGGAAGGCATCGGGAGGCGGGGTGAGCGGCCGGCCTGGGGGACAGCTCCGCGCACCTGGCCTGCCCGCCTTGGGGGTCCCACGGACAGCAGGGCCACCCGAGGAAACATGCACGTGGGACTCAGGATGCGCGAGAGGTCACCTCCGGTGCCACAGCAGGTGAGTCAGAGGGGACTGGAGCTTTAGGGGACTCCTTCTTGAAGTCCCCCCAAATGAGCAAGGAACGCTGGGCGTCGAGTCTCCCAAGACGTCTTTGAGCACGTTTCTGTAACTGGCCGGTTCTGTGAGCCCGGTCAAGGCCCATCAAGCCTCAGTTTCCCCATTCGTTATTAAGAAAGATGCCAGCAGAGTGCAATGACGCACGCCTGTCACCCCGGCAGCTCAGGAGGCTGGGGCAGGAGGATCAAAAGTTGGAGGCCAGCCTCCGCCACTTAGCGAGGCCCTGAGCAACTCAGCAAGACCCTGTCTCTCAATAAATAAAAAGGGCTGGGGACGGGGGCTCAGGGGTTAAGGACCCCTGGGTTCAATCCCTGGGACTAAAAAAAAAAAGAAAGAAAGAAAGAAAGAAAGATGTCACATTCTTCAAATGGCTTCCAGCCCCCACTTCAGCCTCCACAGCAAAGGTGACTGGACTGAGCCTGGGGGTAAGGAGTGGGTTGAGGGTATGGGGTCAGGATAGGAGAATGAATCCCACATCATCACCCCGTGTGCATATGTAACTAGACGAACCCGTGTCATTCGACCTCATGCACAACCAGAAGAACGAGGAATTACACTCCGTTATGTATGACGCACCAAAGTGCATCCCACTGTCGTGTGTAACTCACGAAAACAAATCAACCAATTTTTTAAAAAAAGAATAAATAAAGAACAGGAAGACCATCAGAGAAGATGAATAGGATCTGGGCAGGGTGGGGGGGGGAGAGCAAAGGAGATAGTTTGTCGAATTGAAATGGAGAAAACCATGTCCTACGCACTTATCAATATGTCAGAGTGAACCCCACCAGTGGGTATAACTATTAGCACGATTTAAAAAGAGAATGAGATCTAATCAGGACCACAGGACGGTCCCTCCTCACCCAAGCCACGTGCACCTGTCCCCCCCTCACCCAAGCCACGTGCACCTCCCCGCCCCATCGACTGAGCTCCTGGGTCACCGGAGGATGCAGAGAAAGGCAAATGTAAGTGCGACGCTATTGAATATAAATCTCCGGGAAAACACAGACAACGCAGGCAACTCAGTGAGATCCGGTGCTGGGGGTGTGTCGCTCAGTGACAGGGACACCCCTGAGATGATAAATCCAAATGTGTCGGCTATCAGTGTCAACATTCATGGTCTGCATGCATGCGTGCACCAATTAGAACGGAGACGCTCTCAAGGCACAGATATACCATGTTCATGGATATACCATGTTCATGGATATACCATGTTCATGGATATACCATGTTCATGGATAAGGGAGGCTCAACGTTGCTGGGGCGGGTGGGGGGTCGGTTCGCACTGAGATCCCGCCTCGCTCCAGCCAGAGTGGTAGTCATCAAGAATACAAGGGACAAGAAATATTAGTGGGACGTGGGGGGAAAAGGCACACTCGGACGTGGCTGGTGGGACTGCAAATGGGTGCAACCCTTCTGGAAAGCAGGATGGAGATTCCTCAGAAAACTGGGAATGGAACCACCATTTAACCCAGCTATCCCTCTCCTGGGTCTGTACCCAAAGGACTTAAAATCGGCAGCCTGCAGGGACACAGCCACATCAGTGTTTCTAGCGGCTCCATTCCCAATAGCTAAACTGTGGAGCCAGCCTGGGTGCCCTCCAACAGACGAACGGATACAGAAAACGTGGCATGGAATATTACTCAGCCTTAAAGAAGAATGAAATCGTGGCATGGGCCGGCAATCGGGTGGAACTGGAAACCATCATGCGAAGTGAAATCGGCCAGTCCAGAGGCGGAATGTTTTCTCTGATGAGTGGGTCTGACCCGCAATAAGGAGGGTGAAATGAAGGGGGGAGAGCTAGGGGGGAAAAAAACGAGAGGAAATATTATTAAAGGAGATGAAGTGGACGGAGGGGGAGGGAGGAGAGACAGAAAGAGGGAAGAAGAGTGGAATGAATCTGATCCAACCTCCCTGGGCACAGTCGAGAATACACCACGGTGAGTCCCAACATCAAGCACGTCCACCAGACACTAATTTAAAATAAATAAATAAATAAATAAATAAATTTCAGAGACATCAATAAAATAGAGGATAAAAGGATCGGGGAGTGTCAGGAACTGAATCAGAGCAAATCACATTCCATGCTGTTTGGGATTACATCAAAATGTATCCTGATGTTATATATCATTAAAATAATAATAACAATAAAAAGATTTTGCCATAAACAGGATTACATGCCTGAAATCCCAGCTACTCAGGAGGCTGAGGCAGGAGGATCACAAGTTCAAAGCCAGCCTCAGCCACTTAGGGAGACCCTGTCTCAAAATTAAATAGTAAAGGAAAAAGGGATGTGGATGTAACTCCGCGGTTCAATCCCCAGTTCCGTGATGAAATAAAATAAAATAAAGATACAGTAATGAAGATATCAGCCGGGCATGGCGGTAGGTACACTTGTGTAATCCCAGTGGTTTGGGAGGCTGAGACAGGAGGATTCCAAGTTGGAGGCCAGCCTCAGCAACTTAGTGAGGCTTACCGTAAGCCACTTACTGAAATCCTGTCTCTAAATAAAATATAAAAAGGGGCTGGGATTTGGCTCAGTGGTTAAGTGCCCCTGGGTTCAATCCCTGGTACCAAAAAAAAAAAATTCATATGTTAGAAGATATTATAATATTAGAAAATATTGGAAATAAATATAAAAAAAATTAGAGAAACAAATATAATTTAAAATATATTAGAAAATATTGGTAAATCTTCATTTTGAATAAGGTAATCTTTATTTCAAAAAAAAAAGAAGAAGAAAATGTTTGTACGGGAGTGTATTTCTCCTACAAAACTGGCAAATACTGAAAATCATGTAAATCACCTGTGTTGGCCAGGTTATGGAAAAATGAACAATCAATATCAAAAAATTATAAAAAAAAAAAAAAAAAGGTCAACCCCCCCGAAGCAAAATTCAACTTTAAATTACCTGTGAACAAGCAAATAAAAATCCGTGTGCTTCTTTAAGGTATGGAGATTCACACTAGCTAAGCCGGGTCATTAGAAACAGCAATAAAAGCCAAACTCCAACAAGCAGCAAACACTCTTGATTTGTGTGTGCATACCTCTGTGTGTGTGTGTGTGTGTGTTGTTTATTTACACTGTAAATACCTGGAAAGATTTACCCTGGAATGTTCAAAGTCCCTGGGCAGAGGTTTTTGGGTTTCAAGGTTTTCCAATGACTGCAATTTTTTTTTTTAACCAAAATATTCCTCTATAGTAAGGTGCCGGGGCACCCGCTTGTAATCCCAGCAGCTCTGGAGGCTGAGGCAGGAGGATCGCCACTTGGAGGCCAGCCTCAGCAACTTAGTGAAGTCCTAAGCAACTTAGGGAGACCCTGTCTGTAAATAAAATAGAAAAAGGGCTGGGGACGGGGGCTCAGGGTTGTTAAGTGCCCCTAGGTTCAATCTCTGATATCAAAAAAAAAAATATTTTATTTGGTTTTCTTTACTGAACACCTATACTTGCAGAGGCTGAGGGGCAGCTATAGGGGCAGCAGGATGCTCAGGGGCTCCGGCCGCCACCTCCCAGTCCAGCCTCCAGTGCCTGCCAGCCCTGGCCACTCTGCAGGGACATCCGGGGACCATTTCTCCCGCTGTGGTCTTGCAGCTGGAGTTATGGGCTCAGGGTCCAGCCCAGCAGCCTGGCATTCAGTCAGCTGGCCTCTGGCTGGCCCCAGGCTGACCTCTCTCCTGCAATCAGGTGTTTGTCCTAGCACCAGGGGTTTGTCTTTCCCAGAGCTGGTGTCCCCTGGGCGGGGGTGGGGGGTGGGGGGGGAGGGTCATGCTGTAGTCCCAGTCACTCCCACAATCCTGGACACAGGAGACAGACCAAGGTACAGAGGCCTGTCCTCCTGAGCCTGCAGACTTGAGTTCAAACCCCGGGTGAATCATTACCATCCCCGGGGGCCCCCCAGAATCCTTGTCTCTGCAAGGGACATTCCGGTGTCCTCTGCCAGCATGCTGTTGAGAGTGATCTGGCAGGAAGAACAGACCCGACATTCACAGCCTCTGTCATTCTCAAGCCACCCTAGTAGAGAGGCGCTGTTCCATGTCGCCACTCTAGCCCGGCGCAGGGGCGCACGGGCGCAGGGGCGCACGCCTGTCATCCCAGGGGCTTCGGAGGCTGAGGCAGGAGGATCGAAAGTTGGAGGCCAGCCTCAGCCACTTAGCAAGGCCCTAGCAACTCAGCGAGACCGTCTCTAAATATAAAACAAGGCTGGGGATGCGACCCAGGGATTAAGTGCCCTTGGGTTCACTCCTTGGTTTAAAAAAATCCGGGCCCCCCACATTCAGAGTTTAAGAAACTCCCCCAAGGTCAAGGGAAGTGGGCGGGCAGCTGAAGCCCAGGCCTCTTAATCCCGAGAATGCACTTTCAATTCCATCTCTGTCCCCACCGCCAACCCAGGTGGCAGAGGGCCTGGGGACGCTGGGGACCTGGAGTCTGGGGATCACCTCGGGGACCACGCTGGGGGGAGGAAGGTCTTGGTCCGGCCACCGCCTCCTTGGACACGGTGGGGAGAGGGGGCAGGGAGCTGGCCGCCTGCCCAGCCCCTTTTGTCCGGAAAGACCCTCCAATCACAAAAGGCCCCGGTGCCAAGCCCCCTGATCCGACCAATCAGG